CGAAGGGGTCGTGGATTTCCACTTGCTCGTTTGCCATGTTGGTTTCTAATGAAAAGAACCAGAGACCAAATAAAACACTGATGGAAACTAACAATGGAGAATCAGCAGCTTTAAAAAATTATAAACTGATTATTTTAAGTTTTTGGACAGAAGAGAGCTTAACTTCTTCTTTTGTAATAAACTGCATCGTGTAGTGTTTTTATTTTCTTCTTCTCATTATTATCATCACTTTGAGTAGTTTTAAAGTTTGACGTTGAGAGCCATCACATTGAACTGGGCCTGAGACTTTCACTGAAAACTTAATAATAAAAGTTTTACAACTTTTCAACGACGCGTTTGATCAACAACAGGACGAAGTGACTTCAGGTTCAAACTCTCCAGCTTCAGAGAAACTGAGAAACACGAGTGTGAAGACTGAAACAGGTGAAAATGAGACAGAGGGACTTTGTTGAGCAGAAGTTAAATCATGAACTAAACACTCTCGACACAAAACAGACGAGTCGAGCTTCCTTCAACTTCGTTCTTATGTTGAAACTTCCTCAGAGAAACACTTCGAGGAAACTTTTCCAGCTTCTGCTTCCGGAGGAGGAAGATTAGGAAACTTAGAAACGAGTGAACTTACGTCTCAGACGTCGAGAAACGGAGGAGCAATGAGGAGAAACGAGGAGAAACGAGGAGCAACGAGGAGAAACGAGGAGCAGGCGTCCAAACGAGCAGCTGCTCTGAAGCTGGAGTCACTTTAATGTTTTACTTCCGCTCAGCTGACTGCTTTTATAGTGAAGGCAGTGACGTCAGCGGTTGCAGAACGAAGTTGGAAACGCAAATGAAATGAAAATAAAACTCACTTTACGTTTTTATTTTTTAACTTCAGAAATGTTCCAGCTCATCGTTGATTTACTTTGATTGTTTTTCTTGTATAAAAATTAAAAAATAAAAATCTGCTTCCTTGAGAAACTTCCAGAGACGAGAATGAAAGTGAAACCTGAAAATGTTTGTTGAGACATGTGTTTTTATTTGTCTTCATCATTCATACTAATTCACCTTTATTCTAATTTCTTTTTCCTTTCATTCCTTTTCCTGGTTTGGTGTCTCATTATTCTATGAGTCTAGATTTGATTCCTACTTTCTAATTTGTTTGTTTGTGACTAATGTTGAGTTGCTCAGCGTGTTTCCACCTGCAGTGACATTTCATTTGCTTCGTTTGCAGGTTGCGGAAACATAGAGCGACGACAGCCATAAAATAAACCAAGATGAAACCAGGTACGATAATAATAATACAACAGTTTGTGTCGTGGTTAGAATCAGCAGCAGTTTGTTGACAACAAGGATTCCTGTAAGTGGGTTGAGTCATCAGACTTCTGTAAAACCTCAGTCAGGCTGAGCCAGCAGAAACAGATTCCACCTGACATATGACCTGGTTTATGGTTTATCTGATTTACTTCTGATCCCGTTCAGTGTCAATAGATTCAAACAGCAGCTCCACAGAAAATAAAAAAAGGACCTGAAAGATTTTATTTTTTTTACATTTTTCCTGTTTTGTTTTGTTTTGTTTTGGTCTCATTTGCTGTTGAACTGAAAAATTCTCTCTTCTGATCCTGAAATAATCCTGAATGAGAAAAGAAGATAGAAAATAAGAGGAAAAATTTGAGATGAAGTCAAATCTATGCAACAGTAAAAAAAAACAAAGAGACCAAATTTAAAAAGAAAATCTTGGATTAAAAGTTAAAATAATTACATAAATAATAAAATAATAATTTGTGAAAAATCATAACTGAACTGTTGAGAACTGGTCAACATCACAGTTCAGTGACTTTCAGTTTCAGTTGCTGGTTTTATCTGTTCCACTGGTTTTATTCTTAACAGTTTATAACAGTTTATAATTTAACAGTTTATAATTTAAGTTGAATTTAAGAAATAATCTGACCACAGGCTCCGCTCAGAGCTTTTGATCGTACAGATGTTTGTGTTGCTTCAAAACTCAACAAGGAACTTTTTTATTCCTGCTGATGTAAAGAAAAACTCCAGAGTCGACCTTTAGGAAATCCCCGGCTGTGAATCAGGAGGTTGTGTTGATCTTCACGGCAATCTGAGGAATCTCTCATACCTGTGTGTCTGTCTGTGTGTGTGTGTGTGTGTCTGTGTGTGTCTGTGTCTTCACATGTGGACGCTGCTTGTTTTAATGATGAATTATTCTCTAACAGTCTGTGAGAGACAATGATTAACAGAACTTCTGTCCGTCTGTCGACGCTGACAAAATGAAATAGGACGTCAATATTACGAAACTCTGTGATTTGTGGAAAAACTCTGACACAAACATTCAAAACTAAATAACAGATTAAAGAGTTCTTGACAAATGATGGACGTTAAACGTGACAACATCTGGATTAGGTTGTTATGCAAATGTAAAAATCCCCTGATTTCCCCTCCAGCGCCACCATGACGTTGATATTAATGGTTTTAATAGAATGTTACAGTTCATATCATCACAAACATATTTAAACACCCGGTTCGTCCATTTGAGTCCAAACCTTCTACCTGCGAGGGGGCCGTCTAACCACTGGACCACTGTGTCGTTCTGTGTTTCATCCCCATCACAGACTTTCAAGGTCACATGGCTCAGAGAACACGTTTAAACATTGTGACCAGATGCAGAACAAAACTGAAAACGATATATTTGTGGTTTGACTCATAATCGTGTTATTTTTCCGGTTTTTGTGTATGAGTCTCTGAAAAAGAGGAAATGCAGCCGACGGTTCAGACTAGAACAGGAAGTCATCATCATCATCATCATCATCATCAGCAGAAGAGAATGAAAAACACACATCCAACCGAAGAAGAAACTGAAACAATCATTTAAAACTATAATAATTTAATAGTTTTAACAACAATAATGCCATTTTTATGCCATTGCCAGAAGATAATCCCAAAAATGTAAGAAAATGCCATGCACGACCAACGCTGAGACGCTTTAATACAAAGTCTGTTTTTACTGAACAGAAAGTGATACGAAGCGTGTGTGTGTGTGTGTGTGTGTGAGAGTGTGTGTGTGTGTGTGTGTGTGTGTGTGTGTGTGTCACTCCATTATAAAACGAACTTTCACTCGTGGTTCAGTTTAATGTTTAGACCAAGTCTCAGTCTCGGGGTCGACACCGGCAGCCATCGTAGAAGTTCAGCAAAGTTTTTTTTGTTGTTTTTTTTTAACGTCAAACAAAATAAATAAAAAATAAAAAATATTTCAGACTTGAAAAGTGAGTTTGAGAAGAAGTGGACGTTGAAGACGAGTCACGAGAGAAGAACCCGCACACGCCCACAGTAACACTGATGCTTCATGCTACGTTACGAGCTAACACCGAACAGATGAGGACTTAAAGCAACACCACTGTGACAGCGCCCCCTGCTGCCACACGTGGTTATTACCTAGTGTTGCTCTGAGTGTGTTGTTGTGTTAATACTTAAAAATGTAGAAGATTGAAGGTGAACTCTGCGACTGAAGATCCTCGAGGGTTTTTCCAGAGATTTGGATTGCGACGGCTCCAACGTGTTTTTAACGGTTTCGATTAATACTGTGAATTTTGTGTAGCTGCCGAAAAAACGAAACATCTCCAAACAGCTCCACAACCCGAGCGTCCAGACTTCTACGATGGCCCGAATGTCTCTGAAACATTCTTCCGATTGAGAATATGAATTTAGTTACAACAGGTTATATGTAAAGAAAAAGAGTTTCAATCCAGTGATATACATGCACACAGAATACAAATCATAACAATAAAAATAAAAATACCAAGACAATCTTATTCTCAACCAGCACTGAAGTTAAATTGCACATTCATGAGTCCTCGGTGCTGAACGGTCGGCAACGTTAAAAACATTAATGTAATGTAAACGATTAATAGAGAAACGCAAAGAGACGTCATCGATCATATTGCATCGAATATGGCTCAGATTGTTCTTTTCTTCTGGATTAATGCTGCAGACACACACAGACACACACTCACACACACACACAGACACACACTCACACTCACACACACACAGTCTGTAGGTATGTACATGCAGAGCAGAGTCCTTCTGTTGTCTTTCTCTTTTTGATTTGATATGAAATGGGAGGTATTGTCTCACACAAACAAACAGACACACACACACACACACACACACACACACACACACACAAAGCTTCGTTGCTTCAGGAGTACCACATACACACAAGCCCGTTGTGTAATTTGTGTGACGGCAGCGCGAGAGGTTTTTAGTCTGAAATCAACGCGTCTTTAAAATTCCTGTTTTGTTTAAAAAAAAAAAAAAAGATAATCTGGTTTATTCTTCAAACTCAACTGCGCCTGCAAATAATCTGTGTCTCGATCGTGTGCTGGGTTTTAGTCCTGGTCTGGTCCACATCTGGTCCACATCTGGTCCACGTCTGGTCCACGTCTGGTCCACGTCTGGTCCACGTCTGGTCCACGTCTGGTCCAGGCAGTGATTTCACAGTCAGTTTAAACGGCGGCTGCTGCTTCTCACTTTTAAACGTTAGACGTGTTAAAATATGAAACGAGCCACGTTCACCCTGAAGGTGATGGAAAGTCTCTTTAAAACATAAGAACTGAACTTCCTGGAGAAAGTTCCTGTGGTGTAAAAACATTTCGACCTCTTCGGCGTTTAGTGAATTATTCGATGACGGCGGTTTTTGAAGAAATGAACGTGCGACGACATCAAAGCTCAGCGAGACGACGCGTGATTAAAAACCTTTGAGATCTTTGCATAATGTGACGAGAGACACTCAGACTCCGAGGACCTGAGGGCCTGGACCGAGCTTCACGCGTTTGCTCCGTGGTTCCGTCTGATCTGGTGACTTTTGGTTTCACATTGTGAGCGAGGGACTTTTGAAGTTTTTGAACGAACACACAGAACGACGTGGTGGATTCTGAGAGCGTCGGTGGAACCGTGGACTCTGTACGACACGACATCGGTCCAACGTCTTTGGCACACGTTTCATGGGGTAAACACACAAACCGTTTCTATTTCTATCAGGAGACTCCGCGTTATCTTGTTTTTAAATTCTTTACCGACGTCCGACCTCTGGTTTCTGAAGACTGTGACTGAAATCCCTTACATCTGTTCACACAGGTTCATCTCTCCTCTCCGCCAGTGAACTCACGACCCCGCCTCGCGGCCGCTCACACTGCGCCTGCGTCTGAGCCGTTCAATGTCCAACAATCGATCAGCACAACCAATAAATAGAATATGAATAAATAAATACAAATAAATAGTTGATTAGAATCTCCGCTGCTGATCCGCCTCCTCGCCCGTGGAGCCGCTGGAGTCCGAACCCGACTCTGCTCGTTTGTTCAAACACTTTCCTCTCACACGTGCGTTCTTCTCCACCGAGTTTGAGAGTCCACGGAGGCAGAGTGAGTGTGTGCGTGAGTGTGTGTGTGTGTGTGTGTGTGTGTGTGTGTGTGTGTGTGCGCCTCAGACCGCTGTCTCCAAGTCTTCATGGGTGGAACAAGATTTGTGTTGTTGGGTGCTCAGGTAAGTGGCGAGCTCCGAGTCTCCCTCAGCTTGGTCCGCTGGTGTCTTCCCCTGGTGGACGGACACACACACACACACACACACACAGACACACACCTTCTCTGTCAATCATTCACACGTCGTCCTCGTACACGGAAAAGTGTGTATAGTGTGATTTGTACTGTGACGTGTGTGTTGGTGTGTTTTACCAGGAAGTTGGTCTTCTCGAGCGACGCCCCGGCCTCAACCAGCAATCGACACACGGCATGCTGCTTCTCAGAGGCTGCTTTGTGCAGGGCAGTGTCCCCTCTACACACACACACACACACACACACACACACACACACACACACACACACAGACACACACACGATAAGGAACCTGATAACACCGTCTACAGTTACATTTTACTGACGTCGAACAAAAAGGAGGCTGAGATAAAAAGAACAGATGAAGGTGATTGTGGAAAGTTTCTCGAACTACTTGTCAGCAACAACCTGGTTTAAAATAAAATCCCTCCCACACGGTGAATCCATTAAAAACACAAAATTAAAGTGACTTACTTTTCTCTGTCGGCTAAATCCAGCAGCACTTTGGAGCCTGAAGAGGAAGAAACAGAGGAAACATGAACCAAAGGAAACTTTGAAGGGACACAACGAGGATCTTAGGAAATTAAAAGCACATAAATAATGATGAAGGATTTAAAAAGCACCGGTTCTGTGACGGAGAGAGTTTGAGTCGTTTCTCAAAAAGTTTGTTTATATGTGTGATTTTATTTTCTTTGAGAAGAAAGTTTGAGTTTAAAGTAATAAAGAACTTTAAATATAATAATGTGACGCGTCTTTTATTGTTGATTGATTCAGAGATTAAAAACATCTCTGGTGTAAACCGAAACAAAACAGCTGCGAACTTTACTGTAACTTCAAACTGGTTTTCAACTGAAAAAGCAGAACTGTCCCCCTGTTGTGCAACACGAATCTTTTTGTGGAAGCTGCGAACACCACCTACATGACGATGATGGAGAGGGAGAGTCATGCACATCCTCACCCTGCTGCAGGATGAAGCTGACCAGCTCCGAGTGTCCGTTCTGAGCCGCTATGTGTAACGCCGAGCAGCCTCCGGAGTCTCGGACCAACAGGCTGATGCCTCGACGGACGCACTCTGACAGCTGGGGACGGACAGAAGGAGAGAACAACCGTTTTACCACCAACTGAAGATGAACATCCGCTCGGAGGCAAATGGTTTGAAAATACAGAGGAAGCTTTTAGTTCTTTTGTGCTTTTTACAGGAACGGTGATAAACACGTTTTAACTGAATCAATGTCTCTGCAGTGGTTTTAAAAATGAAATGAACAAACCAGATGTTTCAATGATGAATATTAAACAAATCAAGACTGTTTTGAGTCTCTGCAGACAAATACAAACAGGTCAAACTGGTTTTAATAACTTGTTCCTGTTCGTTTGTGTGCGTGTGAGTGAGATTTTTGCTCTTTACCATAGAAAGATCTCCAGAACTGGCAGCAGTAAACAAAGCTGTGGACACACAGGAGACAGGAATCATCACAACGTGGCTTCGATTCGCAGATTTCAAGTCAAGAAATCTTCATAAACCCCCGAGGGCCAATTTGTGGAACAGTAATTAGTGGAAAACAGACAATCAATAAATACAGTGTGAAGAAGCTCAATATTAACTTCTGCAGATTTTCCACCACAAACAACATCGTCTGATTTCTGCCTCCATGTAGAAACGCCGCTCGCCGTTGGAACCGTGTTTTGTGCTTCGAGCGATGAACGAATTAAAAGTGAAGCGTTGTTTCTGATTCTGCAGAGACTCTAAACTGAACTTTCTGGAGGTTGAGAACTTGAACTCGCAGCAGAATATTTTCCTCGTGTCTCCATGGCTTCAACTCGCCAAATCTAAAAATACAATATATAATTTGACCTTTTTT